AAAAAATAAAATATTAAGATTGCAAATAATTCATATTATATTAGAATGTCAAGGGGCCAGGGATTTAGCTCAGTGGTTCTGCCACCTGCCCTTCAAGCGCAAAGACCCAAGATCTATCCCTGGTACCAAAAAAAAAAAAAAAAAAAGTCAAGCATTATAAGGAAATGATGTGCTAGTAAATGTTCTATATTTTTCAGGACAGCATCCAGGATATAAATTGGGAGTTCCGGTGTACAACAGAGCTCTTTTTTTTTTTTGGTACCGGGGATCGAACTCGGGTCCTTGCGCTTGCACAGCAGGCAACAAAACCATTGAGCTAAATCCCCAGCCCACAATAGAGCTTTTACTACAACATCTTTTTTGTTTTGCTTTGGATTTTGAGACAGGGTCTCGCTATGTAGTTCAGGCTGGCCTTGAACTCATGGAGATCCTCCTGCCTCAGCCTCCTGAGTGCTGGGATTACAAGCATGTGACATGATGCCCAGCTATAGCATTTTTAGACAGACTACTTCTGTCTTCCCTATCCTGAGTGCTGGGATTACAAGCGTGTGACATGATGCCCAGCTATAGCATTTTTAGACAGACTACTTCTGTCTTCCCTATCTACTTGCTTTCCTTTTGGTCCTCTACTAGGACATTTTTTTTCCGTCTATGCTTCTACTCGCCTGGGTCTTTGGACCTTATTTATCTCACCTTAGAGCCTGTCCTGAGTTATAATTCTCATAATTTGTCTAAACTACTAGAGTCATATGATAACCACAGGAGAGCCTGACAATCCAAAGACACACATTGAGGCACACAGGGAGGGCCCCAGACTTTCCATCCGATGGTCTAGTGTAGGCTCCTGACTGAAGGAGCAGAGGGACAGTAGTGCCATGCATCTTCACAGGGTCCCAGGAAACCTGGGCTGGTTTTAGGGGGAACTACCAGAATTTCTTGAAAGAGTAAGATATGGGGAAATAGAGACAAGGCACACACGCCCTGCACATCCCTTCCGTGTCAGAGGGAAACTGCCGTGTACAAGGGCCAGCTGTTGGCTAACACACTACCAGCTATTTGGAGATCTTGCTGCCCTTTCTCTCCTAGTGTTTGAAAAACTGTGGCTGACTGCTCCCTGTGTTTGTAAGAGCCAGGGCGAAGGCCACCTCACATCTCCTATTGATCCAGCAGCAGAAAACAGCAAAGTTATGTTCACCAGATCCCCTACTGCTGATTCAGTCCCACGAGTGATGACCCCACTCCCTGACCCATGCTTTCCTTCTACCCAGGGACTAGATTTGAGGCCTCGGGGTTGCCCGAGATCTGCTGCCTGCAACTGCTGAGGCCCCGCACTACCTCCCTGGGTGCCCTAGTGTGATCTTTCTCCTCCTTCCCTCCCTCCAACCCCATGGGAGGTGAGGGTAGCTGGACAGGTACTGTCTGGAAACTGTAGAGGCAGAGAACTACTGTACTGAGGAGCCTGTAGGGCACTTGTTCTTTTCCGTGGCCTCTCCCTGCTGTCTGGTGACTAAGCCTGCACTGCTCACTGGAGAGCGGGCACCTCCTGACCCACTCTGCCCGGCATCATTTGAGTGTCTTGGCCTTGAATGAAAAGCCTAAGTTCCTGCTGAAACATGTAGTAGGGCCGGGCAGCTATGAGGTACCTCCTACATCTGCTTTATGGCTGTGGTGACTTAGTGCTTTTAACCTTATATCTTTTATCCTTTACTCAAAACAATTTTTAGCACACTGAAAAAAAAAAGCCAAATATTTGTGTCTCTCTAAGGCAGCATTATATCCCAGGCTGCATTTCAGGACTTAATATGGAAACACCAGTCTGTGGGCCTGTATCTGGAGCATCCTAGCCCTAGAGTGTTGGGCACAGGAAGCGGTCCCTCTGAGGCCAGAGAGGTGGCACATAGGTACAGCACTGTACCCTGCAATCAGCTGGTTGGTTCCATTCAACAGCTTAGTTATCGGATTGGGTATCTTGTCCCCTGTTAGAAACACCATGTCCCACAGTGTCCACCTATACTCTGGACCATTCCAAGGGCCAGCCCCCGATCATGCTAATGACTGGTGTTGGAGAGCAGTAGGGTGTGGTCTGCTGAGAAGGGGAGATGGTTTGTTTGTGGTCTTTTTGCTGGATCCAGAGCCAGGATATACCTGTCTCTCAGACTTGTGCTCCTTTCATTTGAAGTCTTCAAATGTAAAGCATTAAGCAGACTGTTCCCTCTACAGTGTATCATATCCCCCCCCCCCCCCCCAGCAGGGGCAGCAAGGAACACACACCAGAAGCCTATAGGTATTATGAGTGTAATAGGTTTCTGGAAAAAGAAACAAGTGTTTTCTATACAGTAACATTTTACTTATCTCTCACCCTTTCCTTGCTTATGACTAATAATTAAGAGACTGAAACAATTCTTTTTTATGGTCCTCCTGGTTCAAGGCTTTGAAATTCTTGGCCTGGGAGCTGGAGAGAACTTGATGTTTTCTCCAGAATGAACAGTCCTGCTTTGTGTATCACTGTTAAAAATAAAACAAAACACTTCGATGAGATTTGACAAGGACTATTTTTAAAAATGTGTCATTAATACAAAAATTTTATTAGCACCATTTAAACGTTCTCACTTTTAAGGAAGAAAAACAGAAGGTAAATATTCTTACAGAGAATAGCAGAGCTTTAAGGTTCATTTTCAAGTCCATTTTGTTTTGCTAATGTGTTAATGTTAGAGGTCTGTTATATTACTGTTCTTTATTAATTTTTTCATTTAAATATAGTTAACTAAAGAGCCTTTCAATCACCTATGTGTGCAAAATTTATTTTAAAATAAAGGTTCTTTTATCATAAAAATGTTCTACATTTTTCAGACATGGTATTCTGATTTTGTCCCACTATTTTTGTAGTTTTATAGGCAGAATGGGAGGCATAAGTAGTTTAATAGAATTTACTGTAATCCATAATTCTCTGATTCAAACACCTTTATTACATTAGTGAAAAAATAATACATTTTCACCTAAAATTGCTTGAGATGAGAAAATGTAACATTTTTTAAAAATTAATTTTATTGATACATTTGAAATATACACAACATTCATCATATGGAATGTGCACCTGTGCATGATATATCTTGATTCTTCTTTTTTTGCCCATTTCCCTCCCCTGTCTATTTACAAAAGCTTTGTTTCCATCGTTTCCTTCTATTCTCTTTTTTCCTCTTCCCTTCCTTTTGTAACATTGTTTTCATCTCCAGGTGTGGACCATGATTACACTTTAACATCATGTGAGTTGATTACTTAAAAGGTGTGGATTGCCATGAGCTTTGGGGATCATGTTAGTCAGCTTTCCATTCCTGTCACAAATATGTGAGATAGACAAGGTTTATTTGGGTTTGTTGATTCAGAGGTTTCAGTCCACGGTCTCTTGGCTTCAGTGCCTTTGGGATGGTAGCAAGGCAGCACCTTAGGTTGGGAGCAGGTAGAGGAGTAAATGTGCTCAACTCCTGCCACCAGGAAGCAAGGAGAGACAGGAGGGGGCTGGAGTCTCCACATACCTTCAAGGACCACACCCCCAGTGACATAACTTTCTCCCACTAGGCCCCACCTCTTAAAGGTTCCACCACCTCCCTTTCGCACCCAGGGTTGAGGGACCAAGCCCCTAACATGTGAGCTTTTGGGGACATTTATCCAAACTGCGACAGTGATGACTGAGAACAGCCTCCAAAATGGCTTTGCAACACCCATAGAAGTCTGAGTCATTGCCACATGAGGGATTTTCAATAGCAAGTTTGTTTTTGTGGCTCCCAGTTCCACTGAGTTTTGCTTATGTGGACAGTTTTTAACTCAATGGTCTTTTCTATTCAAATCTTTCATCCATACAGAGTATTTAATCAGGTGCTAGGAAGTCCTCTTTGGAACTTGTTGGGTCCATGGAATTCGTATAATGGCTATACTTTTCTTTGCAATTTGGCATAGTCAGGAGGATTGTTTCTTTCTTTTCTTTTCTTTCTTTCTTTCTTTCTTTTTTTTTTTTTAATAGGGTACTGCTTTGTAGTACAGGCTGGCCTTGAACTCACTATGTAGCCCAGGCTGGTCTTGAACTCATGACAATCCTCCTGCATCAGCCTCCTGAGTGCTGGGATTACAGGTGTGTGTCAGCATGCCAGGCAGGAGCCTGGGTTCAATCTCTAGTACCAAAAATCAAATCAAATTAAATTAAAATAGTGGCAATACCTACTTCACAGGTTGTGAAAACGTTAGCTATTCCTGAACTCTAAAAAATCATGGCATGTCAGATGTGGCAATCATCCCACCATGAAAAACACAGACAATGGAGGAAGGTTAAGAACGTGATCATTGAAGTCGGGGACGGTTCCCTGCTCTGCTAGTTTTATTGCCACGTTACATGGGAATTACAAACTTACAATCCTGTTTCCACTCTTGGAAAATGTAAAATTATAAACTATAACTATTCCTGCCGTACGTGGAAATCATGAAATAACAAGGGTATCATCATATCATTCCCACTTTATCTGGAAGCTGCCATCCTTCTTCTAAGCGCAGAATCGCTGATGAGACAGGGTGAGGCACCAGGCTACGCCCCTGCCAGCGGGGCAAAGCCAGTGTCCAACTGGAGGGCTTCACACCCTTCCCCTCAGGCCACCTCCGGCCCTGTCTAAACGGAATTTACAAATCGCTTCTTGGGCTTTTGGCTAAAATCAAATGTAAGCTGGATTTACAGCCACCAGGTCCTGGAGGAAGTGAGCTGCCACCCGCTTCCCCTCCAGGGTGATGCCAGCATCTTAGCCGGAAGATAAGGGCGTGCTTGGGGCAGAGTGGGCCCCTCTCTAGGGCCTCACCCTACTCGACCCGATAGGAACGGAATGGTAAGACGGGCCGAATTCGAGCCGGCTGCGCGCACGGCCAGGAAGCCTACCTTTGCTTCCCAGGCCCGCCGGAGCCTCGCGTCCGCAGCCCCCGCCCTCGCGACGTCACGGCGGCTAGGTGCAGTGCCCCCTAGGGGCCCCGCTCCGGAGTAGGAAGCGCCCGTCGCTCCCGCCGTGGTCCCGTTACCGCCCGCCACCCTCGGGAGGAACTTGCTGCAGCCGCGTCCCCGCGCACCATGAGCGCGCGCCTGCCCCTCGTCCTGCGCCAGCTCGGCCGCCCGCCCCGGCCCCCGGGCCCGCCGCGTCGCCTCCGGGAGCCCTGTCGTGCAGCCAGCGGCAGTGGCAGCCAGAGCGGCGGCCAGGAGGGCCTGAGCGGGCAGCAGCGGCCGCAGGATGGTCCGGCCTGGAGCAGCCAGGGCCCGGGCAGCCCTGCACCTCCCGCACGGGACTCCATCGCCAGGTGAGTGTCCGGCCGGGTGGAGGAGGCGGCCAGAGCCCTCAGGTCTGCGGGGCGCGAGTGCTTGGTGCCAACTTATCGGGGAGCGCAGGGTGGGCGCGCCCGGTGCGCACCAAGGGAGCGGGGATCCGGGGGACCTGGGGACCGGGCCCCGCCAAGGCCGGGCGGCTGTGAACATCCCCGGCGGAGCCGCTCGCTCCGACCGCACTCCGTGCACGCCCCGCTCCACGTGCGTCCGGCCGCTGGCTCTGATGCAACCGCGGGGCTCTGAGGGGACCGGAAAGGGGCGGCGCGCGCCGGCCGGGAGAAGAAGCGCGTCCTGCGCGCTACCCGACTGGCGGGCGGGTCTTTAGACCTCCCGGAGAAGCGGAGGTGGACCTGTGCCCGCGTAATCGGCAGAGGGAGCCCGAGCCGAGCAATCGCGGCTGCCGGGGCGGGGCGCACGCAGTCCCCAGCACCGTTGTGTTTAGGGGGTCCTCTCAAGACCTGGAGGCGAACTGTGGGCCTCGGGATGAGCCTCCTGCGTCCCCCACACACTCAGCCCCATCTCTCCGGTCCTCACTCTCCCAAGACCGAGGAGCAAGAGCCCTAGTCACGTCCTTTGTGGAGAAGTGGGTTCCCGGGACCCCAGATCCTGCAAAGGGGTGCGCCCACACCCACCTCGAGGCTTTCCAGCCGCCCTTTGAATTGGGACGGAGGCATTGGACGCTGTTGGGATAAGCTGCCGCTTTTCCACCCTCTTCCTCCACCATCCCCTCCTCTTTTCCTTCTGGCCTTCATTCTAAAAGCTATTGCCTCACCCTACTCCAGGTCTATGTCTTTTTTTCCTCTCTCCCAACCCCCTTCCTTCCCTTTATCCCCCTCCTAGGTAATGACTGGTGACTTTCCCAGGTTCTTTATGGGGTGGCTAATGAGCCTAAGGGGGCTTTCGTTTAAGATTGTAGGACATTGGATTTACTTTAGGTCATTGGATTTTATCCAGCTCACCGCTGAGCTCATCTTAGTGGGTTAGTGACTGAAGACAAGATGGGAGGCAAAACAATTCAATGACAGAGCACATACAAAATGCCTAGCCTGGGTATTGTCACACATTAAGCCCTCAACCAATGTTGTCTTATTATTTTTACAATCCTTTAAACCAGAGCCTGCAAAACCTTTTGTGTAGTGGGCTGGATGATAAGTGTTCTAGGGATCAAGAGGCAAGATCAAAATTATGTAGCTACTTTCATAACAACAGAAATTTTCCAAAATTTTAAAATGAAATTTGGTCTTTTTTCTTGAGCACTGAAATTTGAATTTCAAGTAGTTTTCACATGCCATTGAAATAATTTTATTTATTTATTTATTTACTTACTTTTTTGGTACCAGGGATCGAACTCATGACCTTGTGCTTTTGAGGCAGGGGGCGGAACCACTGAGCTAAATCCCTGGCCCTGAAATAATTTTATTTTGATTTTTCTAACCATTTAAAAATGTAAGAGCCATTCTTAGCTGTGGGAACAGTTGAGTGGCCCCATTTATAAACCAGAAGGAAGCAGATTGAGTCAGTGCTTCCAGAACTGTGGCTGAGAGTCAGGTGTCCTTGTTTGCCACAGGACTTTACCACTCCTGGCTGTGTGAGCAGACAGCCTGGGCAAGCTGCTGAGGGCAGTCTTCACCTCCAAAATTCGAACCTTCCTCTCCTTCCTGAGGTTGTCATAAGCTAGTGATCCTGGGTTGTATATATATATTGTTTCCAAAACTGGTATTCATCTTTCAGTTGACTGTGTCTAAGTCACTGTTGGCCAGGTGGCATTCATAGTGTATTTGTCATTCTCCATGCCTCAAGGAACTTGGTCATACCTTTCAATTGAATTATGGGTGTGGTCTCCCAGAAGTCTCTACCCTGAAAGCGGTTCCTCCAGGATGTGAGGAAAGGGCTTTCGAGTCTGAGTGAAAGCCTCCTAGAGTAGACATTCAGGAGCCTAGGTCAGTGGTTGTGAACCTATGACACTCATCCTCAGTGGGCTGTTTGTATTATTGAAGGCTCTAAAAGGTTTGCCATCCCTGGCCTAGGATGTTAGTCTTGATCCTCAGACATGAATCAGAAAAGTTAAGAGAATAAGCTGAAGAAGCACAGTGAGTGGCCTGTTATTCCTCCTGGTGTCACGAGACCATAATCCTTTGATGTTTCAGTCAGCAAGTCGTGTGAAGATCATTTTAGAGAATAATATGATTTCTGGCTGTTGTCTGTCAACTTTGCATTGACTTCTGCTAGAACTGAGAAAGCACCAGTGTCAAAACTTTGGGAATGGATCTCAGCAACGAGTGAAAACTCCAGGGCCGCAGTTTGGATGTTGACTGTCCTCCATAGTTTTGTGGGTTACAGGCTTGGCTCAAAGGGCAGTGCTGCTGGGAGCTAGGGGAACCTTTGAGAGGTGAGGCCTTAGATCATGGGAGCATGCCCTGGAAGGGGATTAGGGTACCCCCAAGGGTTTGTTCTCTGCTTTCTTTTTTTTTGGTGCGGAGATCGAACTCAGGACCTAGCACTTGCAGGGCAGGTGAGGTGCCACTGAGCTACATCCGAACCCTGTTCTCTGCTTCCTGGCTCATTTATGATGTAAATGGTTTTCCTCTGCTGCACACTCCCATGATGTTACCCAGCCTTTACCAGAGGCCCAAAGCAGTGGCTACTCAATTTTGGACTGGAACCTTTATGACTCTGAGCCAAAAAACCTCTTTTTAAATTACTCAAGTATATTGTTACAGCAACAGAAAAATAATGAATACACCCAACAACGAAAGTGAACAGAAGTGACTTGATCTTTTTTTTTTTTTTTACTAGTACGTGTTTGTAGTACATCATGCTTACATTCCTTATGGGGAGTTCGTACGTACATACAATACATTTTAATGCCTTTTTTCATCTCCTTTCCCTTGCCTTCTTCTTCCACCCATCTCTTGGTCCTCTTCCTTGGTTTTTTTAAAAAAAATATGTATTTGCAGTATTAATGTTTAGATTCCTTGTGTGGAGTTAGTATGTGTACATAAGATATCTTAATTCCTTTCTTCACCCCCTTTCCTTCTCTTCTCTTCCCCCTCGCTCCATCTCTTGATCCTTTTCCACCTTGAGAAAGATCTGTCTTCCTACTTCTTCTTGTCACTTAACATGATAGTCTCAAGGTCCATCCATTTTCCTACAGATGACTCATTTATCTTTATGGCACAGTATTCTATTGTGGGTAAATACCACATTTTATTTATCCATTCATCTGTTGACGGACATATAGACCGCTTCCAGATTTAGTTGTTATGAGTTGTGCTGCTGTAGACATGAGTGTGCATGTATCACTGTAATATGGTGTCTTTAACTCTTTCAGGAAGATACCTAGAAGGGGAATAGCTGGGTCAAATGGAATTTCTTGTTTCAGTTTTTTGAGGAATCTGCATGCTGATTGCCAAAGTTATTGTACTAGTGTACATTCTCCCTACTTTTCCTTCTGCAGCCTCTCCAGCATTTGTTATGATTTAATTGCTTGATAATAGCCATTCTTTCTGGGATAAGATGAAATCTCAGTGTTGTTTTAATTTACATTTTTCTAACGGCCAGTGATGTTGAGCATTTCTTCATGTATTTATTGGCCACTTATACTTTTTTTTTTAATAGCAAAACATTTATTGGTGCACTTTAGACATATATAATGATGACACTCATCGTAGGGAATTTGCACCTGTATAAGGTACATCTTGCCCTTTTTACCATTCCCCCCTTCCCTCCCTACGTTACAAAAGCTTTGTTTCCATTTTTTCCTATTTTCTCTTTTTTTTTCTTGTCTCTTCCTTCTTTTCTCCCTCCCTCCCCCCTTATTCCCCTTCCCATTTGAACATTTTCGTCCCATTTCCCAATATCTATTATACATTTTAGTCCTTATTTCCGCTTTCGGTTTCTCACACCAGAGAAACAGTGTGGCCACTTGTACTTCTGTGAAGTGTCTATTCATTTAGCTTGCCTGTTTTTTGATTAAGTCTTTTATTTGAGGATAAATAATTTTTTGACATGTTCATATATTCTAGATAAGTGTCCTTTGTGTGAGGAATGGGTGGCAAAATTTTTTCTATAGGGTATCATTAGTTGATCCTCAGTACTATTTCCTGCGCAACCAGGGTTTTGTTCAAAAAGTCCTTCCCTACGTCTATGATTTCAAGAGTTTTGCCTATTTTGTCTTCAGTTAGGTTAAGTGATTCTTTTTCTTTCTTTTTTTTTTTCTTTTTTGAGACAGAGTCTCATTATGTAGTTCAGGCTGACTTTGAACTCACCATGTAGTTCAGGCTGGCCTCAAACTCACGACAATCCTCTTGCCTCTGCCTCCTGAGTGCTGGGACTACAGGTGTGCACCACCATGCCCGGCTAGTGTTTCTGTTTTAACCTTTACTTCTTTGATCCATTTTGAATTTATTTTAGTATATGGTGAGACATACGGGTGTAGATTCAATCTTCTGCATGTGGAACCAACACCATTTATTAAGAGGCTATCTTTCCTCCAGTGTATGTGTTTGACCCTTTTGTCAAAGATTAAACAGTTGAATGTGCTTGGGGTTGTTTCCACATCCTTTGTTCTGTTCCATTGATCCTCATGTCTGTTTTTGTGCCAGTACCATGCTGTTTTTTCACAGTAGCTTTGTAGTATAACTTCAGGTCGGGGGACTGTGATGCCTCCCACTTTGTTCTTCCTTCCCAGGACTGCTGTTGTGATTTTGGGTGTCTTCTGGTTCCATATGAATTTTAGGATTGTTTTCTCCAGTTCTGTGAAGAATGCTGTTGGAATTTTGACTGTGATTGTGTTAAATCTGTATATCAGTTTGGGAAATATGGCCATTTTGACTATATTCGTTCTGCCTCCCCAGGAACAGGGGATATCCTTCCATTTTCTGAGGTCATCTTCAATTTTCTTTTTTAGAGTACTATAGTTTTTGTTATAGAGGTCTTTTACTTCCTTAGTTAGGCTACTGCCTAATTATTTCAT